GAAACAACTAATCGAAGAAAAGAAATTTATCGAAGGCGACTCCGAAGAGAATGTCGCAGCATGGGGAGAATCAATCGAGGAAAATATAGCTTTGGCTGACGAGAAAGTGAAGCAGTTAAACGAGTATATTCAGCGCCCTGGAAAACGAAAATAAACGACTATTAGACGATGAAAATTATGCGAGACAACAAGCCTTCGAGAAACACGAAAGAGATAAACAGCTTGCCTTCGAACAGGAACTTTTCAATCAAAAATTACAGTATCAAAAGGAAATTAAAGAAGTTCAAGCAGGGAAAAATTCATCTACAAAGCTACCAAAGCTTGTAATTACACCTTTTAATGGTTCATATCACGACTGGTTGCGATTCTGCGGCCAATTTTCTGCGGGTATTGAGTTGGCCGATATTCCTGACGTGATGAAATTCTCTTACCTGAAAGAGTTAGTGGAACCCAAGATACGGACATGTATAGATGGACTGCCCTTCACGACCGAAGGATACAAAAGTGCGAAGACAATCTTTGAAGAAAATTATGGAAACACCAGTGAAATTGTGAATTCCTATGTGGAAGAAATCGTGAATTTGCCAACGATAACAAGTACCCGACCGGAGAAAATACACCCCTTCTACGAGAAATTGGTTTATTGTGTTCAGTCACTGGAAACTTTGGGAAAACTTCAGGAAGTAAATGGATATGTACGACTTACCTTGAACAAAGTACCTGGAATACGTGGGGACTTAGTCAGAACTGAGCCCAAATGGAAAGACTGGACATTCACAGATTTAGTCAAAGCACTGTTCGCTTGGACTGAAAGAAACCCTATTGAAGCAAAGACAAGCAACGAAAGGAAAGATGCATCAAGGGCTTATCAGACCCGTCAAATAGATCAGAAATCTCGAGTGTGTGTATATTGCGACTCTAAAAATCACAAGTCCATTGCTTGTGACTCGGTGACCACCTGTGAAGCTCGACGAAAGCTTTTATCGGACAAGAAACTGTGTTTTAACTGCACGGGTGGTAGTCATATGGCATCTGAGTGTAGGAGTAAACAAACCTGCCAGAACTGTAAGTCTGTAACCGACGTCACCACACCTCAATATTTGAACTAGCCAAGACCATTTTGACCGCAGCATACCACCCCAGCGATCACAAAGTAATTTACCCAGTAGTTCTTGTCGAAGTCAACGGCACTGAACTATATAACATGGAAGTCTGACTCGAGCTCAAAAAGTGAAGCCAACATGGCGGAATTTGAAGGCATTCTTGCGCGTCATTCTCAGTCCCCTTACGTGCGCGGTCAACAAAACTATATATTTTTCTTTACTTTCCGAGTAAAAATCTGGTGAAAAACAGACGAAATTTGAATGAAAAGTTGAATTCTGGTATTTTGTTTGGGTTCGGTTATAAATTTTAATTATTATTTGTTTAGGAGATGTGATATTTGAGTGGAAAGAAAGCAAAATAGCGCGGGATTGCTGTTTTTGTAAAATGGCAAGGACTGGAGTGACAAAACAAAACACAAAGTCACTCAATCTTTCAAAATATCTCTATTGCCCCTATCGACAAGAGTTTCACACACATGAATAACTCATTAATATGAACAGTTTAAGTTTATAAGGCAAACATCAAAGTGATTTTATTAAATAGAAAATAAAAAACAAAATTTTCTTACATGTATGGAATTAAATTGGCTAAAAACTGCCTCGAAAACTGCAGTTAAAAAGCAGTTTTAGGTCAGGAAAACCGACTAAAATAAGCTAAATAATGGTGTGAAAACTGAAAAGCACCATAGAAACAAGAAAACGAAACAACCAAAGCAAAAATAAATTGCCAATTTATAAAAATACAGATTTTATGTCAAAAAAACAAAAAAGTTTGAAATTAGTTGTTGAATTCGCAACGAAAAATACAGATTTACCCACACATACAGTGGGAAAATGCAGTAGACAGATCGAGTGAAGGAAATCAGGTTTACATGAAATAAATTAAGTTTATTTCCTTTTTTGCTCTTTTAAAATGAAGAAAAACACAACCCGAGAATCGCGAACCCTTTACTTCCCGCCATGAAATACAAAAAATGTTTGGCCGCGCGGGTAGGGGACTGAGAATGACGCGCAAGAATGGCTTCAAAATCCGCCATCTTTGGCTTCACTTTTTGATTACGTCAATGACTGAAGTCAGCCTTCCATGTATATAGTTCACTGGTCGACGGTACCAAGTGAAGGGCACTGCTTGACACCGGTTCCGGAAGCTCATACGCATCTGCGAAGTTAGTCGAACAGTTAAACAAGAAACCTAGCGAGTCGAAAGTTACAAGAGTTGAAATGCTAATGGGATCAGCAACTCGTCGAGTGGAAATCTTTAATGTAAACATTAGCAATACTGAAAGCAACTTTAACATGGAAACTAAGCTGACTAAAGTGGAAAAACCTTGTTTGATGGAACTTCCTAATCCTCACTATGACAGTCTAATCAAGAAATATCCCCATCTTGGTGGAGTAAAGATGATTGACGATGACCAAAAGGATCAACTTCCAATACATGTCGTGTTGGGATCTTGTGACTATGCCCGTATCAAAACAAAATGTGCCCAAAGAGTCGGTTCACCCGGAGATCCAGTTGCAGAGAAAACATCATTTGGCTGGACTATGATGTCACCCGGAGTCGAAAGTGATTCAAACAAGATGTTGCTAACACAGACCTCCACTGGTGATTATGAAAACCTCTGTCGGTTGGATGTGCTTGGTTTAGAAGATCTTCCAGAGAATGACCAGGACATTGTTTACGCAGAATTCAAAGAGCAACTGAGACGTGACCCTGCAGGATGGTACAAGACTGGGTTACCCTGGAAGGGTAACCATCCCCCTTTACCAAGTAACAAGCAGGGTAGTGTTCGACGGTTAGAATCATTAATGCGAAAACTGAATCGCTCTTCCATTACCGAGAAATATGATCATGCAGATTATTCTGGCAAGAACAGATTCAAGAGGACATTGTACAGAGTGCTCCAGAAAAACCTAACGGACATGAGTTTTATATCCCGCACAAACCTGTGATTCGAGAGAACGCTGACAGCACTAAATTAAGAATCGTATATGATGCATCAGCCAAAGAAAGCGCAGAAGCACCATCACTTAATGACTGTCTTCATACCGGCCCGTCATTGCAGAACAAGCTATGGAGTGTTTTGGTCCGCGATAGATTTCATCCGGTTGCGGTCAGTGGTGACTTGCAGAAAGCCTTTCTGCAAGTCTCCGTATCAGCGTTTTACCCTAACCCTTAAAATACAAGCATTAATTTATCTTTATAGAACTATAGTCAAAAGACTACAAAACGCAAACGCGGTAGAAACGTCACCGAAGCCGACATCGCGCATAGCTTGAAGTTCGAGAGATTCTGTAAATATTATATTATAAGCTAGCTTTCTAATGTTGTCGCAATGATATATGCCTCCAAACAATCTCAAACGGCTTATACTTTAGTGAATTTTACACCTTGACATTTGACGCCAGCAAAGTTCAATCATAATAACAAGTTTCGCGCGAGGCTATACTCAGACTACTCAGTGATCATAGCATTTTCCCCTATATCTCGGTCACTTTTTAACATTTTCTCAAAAAAGTTGCTGGAATTGAGAGATATAACATTACTTAATATGAATATATAAAAGTTTTTGGATAAAATCAGAGTTTCATCATATAATGTAACCTTAATGGAATGTTTGAGTCGATTTGTAACAAAGTTATTCGCTGTACTCGCTGACTAACCAGACTCATCTCCACGAACTAGCTAGGCTTACTCTGTGGGGTGTGCGAATTAATTTAAACATTTCCAGGGGAGCACATATGAAACAAGCGAAAGGTGGAAGGCATGTATTGCGATATACGAAGTTGGCAGCAACCCCACGAGATGTATCCACGCGTCTGAGTTCGACTATACCTGGGGATCGATTGGCATCAGTACAAGGCTGCTGATGCCTGATAGGGTCGCTGGCCAAACCCTGACCGACTGAACAATATACGAGCCGGTTGATGGCTGACTACCACCAGAGATGGATTATATAATAGTTTCTATATGCTCTGGTTTATAACTGACTTGTAGGCCTGTCAAGTTGGTAAACTGTGCATGTTTTCATGGTGAGTTGGTTTTTTCAGGCTTTATTCCGAGGTAATTTGTTCTGGGGGTAATTTTCTCCGGTGGTTGTGGTTATCTTTTTTTTTAAAAACCAAACCGAAACTGAATCCTTACCAGTTACCATACCCACTAATCCTAACCATTTGCAAAATCACAACCCTAATGATTACTGTAATACGGTGATTCCTTCCCAAGATATAGCGGGTACGTTTCCCGATTTCTCGGTATATCTCTTAGATCTAGGACCTTTACTCATCTGGCTTTCGTAGGTTCAGGGTCAATTTTGGGCTAGCATTTGGTAATAATAACGTCCCGGCCTATAGTGGATTCCTCAAGTTCTCTCAAAACAGACCCACAACATTGCTATCTCAAATCAACAACTAGAAACAAATTTTTACTGACTAGTGACTAGTAGTTATTATTACGTCAACGATAAGAAAATATAAACTGACCTTATATTACTACTAGTTTATAACACGGTCGCGTAAAGTTGTAAAGTTCCAACAATTTTGAATACGGATTACTCACTTACTCAAAATAATATTTTACGTGGGAGAATCACGAGGCATAACACACGGGTATTGACCCCCAGACACATATTTGACTTCGAGAAAAAGATAGGCAGTTTATCTCATCATGAAGATTGCGTTCCAATTATTTTCATTTCATTGGTACTTTCTACGCTTTATATACGCATTAAAATGATTAAAATGTAATTCTATGTTCATAATAATACCAACTGAGTAGAATTGTTATTTTGGTGAACTGCATCAACATATTAAATTATGTAATGCGCAATTCCTAAACAGGAAGTTAAAAAGCTTTAATTAAGATCCATATATGGGAATTGAGATCACGGCTTGATCACGAGATGTTTCGTTAGAAAGGCTTCGTTTTACAGAACGACAAAGCTATTTACAGATTTTTAACATATTTCCCGTGAAAATTTCTGGTAAGTTTGTTCATATTTTTACATTACGTTCAAACGGGAGCTGACGAGTTCGCAACTAGACTCAAATTAGTTGCGCTCGTTTCATTTGTTCACACGGAAATTCGTGCGGTTAGCTGTGTTCGAATTGTCCGGCTTCATACGTCTGTATTTGAGTAGAATGTAGATTTATCCTGCTTTATACACAAATGTTTGCGATTTCGTCTTGCGCGCAGAGGAATTGGAGCACATCGAAAGTATACGAATTACCGTGTGAAGTTGTGGACAAACGGGGGCGAACAACACATGTGCAGATCCAAAATCATTAAGTCTCACGTGAACAGGAATTATGCTCGAATAATGCTGTTTTACCAAAATTATGCTAGTTTTTACTAAATTATGCTATTCACAAAATACAGTAGTCACAAATTAAAATCATATCAGCTGGTTGTGTATGCCTAAGCTTCTTTGTATGACAGCCATAACAGCTGTAGGTTACCGTGATTATTCGAATAAACGCCGCGGCGTTTATTAAATTTTTGGCGCTCAAGGTACGGCGTTTATTCGAAGGCGGCGTTTATTCGAGGGCGGCGTTTATTGCAAATTTTGTAACAACAAGTGTGCATTTATTGTTTAATTAAAACTCAACTTCAACACTTACCTTATTATAGGAAATTAACGATGCACTTTATTAACGAGACATAAATTAACGCGACATCAAATTAAAGCGGATTGCTTCTAGGTCTTTTAAAACATGATTATATTAACGCGATTCTGATCTCCATGGTTGACAAATTAATTAAATTAACGCGAATCGGAAAATATAGACACAACAACAACAACAAAGGTTTAATGTTAAGAGAAGCACTGATGTTTTTATTTTACGTTAATATGCTGTATTTTGATATTAACAGAGTTAGTGTTATATAAAACAAATCTAAGTATTTTTAACTAACGATAAATGAAAATTACATACTTAAAATTAACGATCACATAAATTAACATTAATTAAATTAACGTGAATTTTAAAAATCCGCGTTAATAAAGTGCATCGTTAATTTCCTATAATAAGGTAACCCAAAAAACTAAGAATAAAGTTCATATGTTATGACGTTTAAAAATAGGCGTTTAATAATATTTTTGCTTGTCCCGGCGGCGTTTATTCGAGGGCGGCGTTAATTCGAGGGAGGCGTTTATTCGAGTAATTGCGGTATCTCCCGTCGTTGCTTGACGCCACTGATTTTTGATGAGAGTGTGGAGGTGTGGACTGTCCGATATTATGTGTACTTCCCGTGCTTACTCCAGTGTCTGGACGACTACTAGCGCTATGAAAATAGATTGAACAAAGCTTTAAAGCACCAGTATAGGGAATAAAACATGCCATGGTTACAGTGTCAGTAATTATATAAAATGTCCTAGTACAATCGAGAAAAGCCTACCCCTAGCCCCTCCCCCATGCTCCGCCTCCACTGATTGAACAATTTTAATCATAGAGATATTATTTTTTAGTTATGTTTCCTATTGTTCCTCGTTCCAAAGCCCATGGGGTGGACTTCTGCGGCGAGGATTATTTATTTTACGGCTACCACTACATCATTCGCTCAGATGCTGGTGTTTACATGAGATCACGCAATCTGAACGAAGGAAGTAATATAGAGGTATTTGACTTGCACTACTCGTGCAAGGGAGGAGATCACTACCTTGCTAACAATGGCTACTTCTATATCATCAATGGTACCAAATACCGAAGAGTGACAAACCTGAATACTGATGCCAACGCTGTAGCCCACCCACTCCATCCCAATTGCCAAGGTGGAGATCACTACTTGTCCATGTGTGGCAAATTTTACATCGTCTACAAAGATCGAGGTGTCTACAGGAGGACTACTGACATGAACAAAGATTCGAATGCGGTGGAATATCCTCTCCATTCCAGTTGCAACGATGGCCTTTACTACTGGGGATGTGGCCAGTACGCCTACGTTGTTAGAAACGGTGATTGGGGTCCTCAGTATCATACGACCAGCAATATGAACAACAACTCGGATAACATTGACTATTCCTTTGCCATCGATGTCGTTAAATTTCTTCCTGGTGGATTAGCGACCACACACGGACGCGCTTTTGGAACATGGAAGCTTTTAAAGTGTTTCGAGAATACATCTCAGATTACAGTTGATTGGTCCAAGCAAGTCAGCCACCAAACGGGAGCAAGGAGAACAAAACTGTCAAGTATCGAAAATAATTGGAACTTCACGAAAAGCGGGAGTATTGGTGGAGTTATTCCTGAAATTCTCGTCAAATACCAGCTCTCTCTGAATGCAAGTTATGGCGGAAAGAGTATTGACACCACGACGGAAAGCTGGGATGATGTGACGACGGTGACAGAGACAGTAAATGTATCGGTATCTCCTGGCGAGCAAATCTGTTTCTGGCAGTACAAAGTTGGCTTGGGGGGAGAAGATTTTCTTTTCTGTCCAGAAATGAAGATGACCGATTGTAAAGTTCCCCCTACAGAAACACCTCTGCATTCCGTATAATCTCTCCATAACCTGGCTGTTTTTGCCTTTGAGAAACATAACATTACCCAAACAATCAATATTTTGTCGGCATCTAACTCGATTGAATAATAGTTGAGGTGATTTTTCTGTGTTGGTGTTGTGTACTCAGGTGAATAATAAGATGTTTGTGATGTTACTCTGAGTGTATATCCACACCGGACGAGCTTGAAAAATATGCCCAGCCACGGTGGGAATCGAACCTACGACCTTTGGAATACTAGCCCAATGCTCTGCCAACTGAGCTACGCGGTCAGGACGGTTCGAGTAAGTGATATTTCGGAACAGTATCTAGTTCCTTCAATACCAATGTGTTCTTGTAATATGAATTTTTTCTGTGCTGGTGTTGTGTACTCAGGTGAATAATATGTTTGTGATGTTACTCTGAGTGTATATCCACACCGGACGAGCTTGAAAAATATGCCCAGCCACGGTGGGAATCGAACCTACGACCTTTGGAATACTAGCCCAATGCTCTGCCAACTGAGCTACGCGGTCAGGACGGTTCGAGTAAGTGATATTTCGGAACAGAATCTAGTTCCTTCGATACCAATGTAATCTAGTAATATGATTTTTCTGTGTTGGTGTTGTGTACTCAGGTATCGAAGGAACTAGATTCTGTTCCGAAATATCACTTACTCGAACCGTCCTGACCGCGTAGCTCAGTTGGAAGAGCATTGGGCTAGTATTCCAAAGGTCGTAGGTTCGATTCCCACCGTGGCCGGGCATATTTTTCAAGCTCGCCCGGTGTGGTTATACACTCAGAGTAACATCACAAACATCATATTATTCACCTGAGTACGCAACACCGACACAGAAAAATCATATTACTAGATTACATTGGTATCGAAGGAACTAGATTCTGTTCCGAAATATCACTTACTCGAACCGTCCTGACCGCGTAGCTCAGTTGGTAGAGCATTGGGCTAGTATTCCAAAGGTCGTATGTTCGATTCCCACCGTGGCCGGGCATATTTTTCAAGCTCGCCCGGTGTGGATATACACTCAGAGTAACATCACAAACATCATAATAGTTGAGGTGTTTTGTAGATGAAATTATTCAGGGGAAATTTTATAAATTTTCGGTGATTTCCATCTACAAACCCTTCAACTATATTATTCAATCGAGTGAGATGGCAACAAAATTTTGATATTTACTCATACCTTAACATTGCAGTACCCTAGTATATACATGAACTTGTTGTCAGAGCTCGATAACTGGACTCTGTAGCTCAGTTGTTAAAAGCGCTGCACCGGAATCGCAGGACCGCTGTTTCGATTCTTGCCTAAAGCTGGAGTTACACGAGCAACGTACAAAAATTGCCGCAACTTGCAACAGAATCTAATTTCTACGCATGTTAATTGAAAATGTTTACTCGGCATAAATTACAAATCACAAGGCAACATGTGACGATATTTCTACTTAACATGCGTTGAAATCAGATTTTGTTGCAAGTTGCAGCAATTTTGTCCCTCGTGTAACTCCACCTTAAAGGTCTATGATTGCATTTAAGATTTTTCGCAACTGCACATGGTTAGGTCTAATAAGTACTACTTAAACACAAGTAGAAGTGTTTTATCAGGAGAGACGCAGTCGAGCGTTTTATGTCTGATAAAAAACGACAACGAGTGTTTTGAATAGCTTAAAGTTCTACTACAAAAGAATACTAATTAGGATGAACAATTATATAAAGGGTACTAATGAAGATGAGTTGTATCAGATATAAAGTCACTCCACGTCACCACGTGACATATTATGGCTGACGTGATTCTCCACAAGGTTTATGAATTATTAATGAGTATTTTAAATACATTTAAAATATTCATTAATAATTCATAACCTGATAAAACACTCCCACTCGTGTTTTAAATAGTATATAAAATTTACAATCTACAAAACTCTTTGACCAATATCAGAACTTTTTAAATTAATTTTGTAGACCGATTTTGTAATTCTTATAAAAATTGAGCAGAAACAGAAGGGCGTAACTTTTTAATACTTATCTATGACATATTATATAATAACCTTAAGAATTCATGCGATTTCGATCATTGGTCGAGAGCCATATCTATTAGAGGACAGACGCACGGAATTACGTCATAAGTTTTTAAAATGTCGAAAATATTTGAAAATTCCACTGAATTTATACAAATTGAATGAATTCATGCAATTAAATCTATAAACAACAATAAATACCTTCGATAAATGTGCAAAAATCACTCACAAAAGCTAGCAACTCGGCAAATCTCAACTCAGTCATTCAGCTGCGACTTCAAAATCCAATCCGGCCTTCGAAAACAAATACTATTTCGGTCATTTGACTCTGTTGATGTCACATTTTCCAGGTGGTTTAATTATATTTCTTCACTTTTCGTGCAACATAGACAATGTTTAAGTGCTTTTTAATTGCCATAATCGCTCAGAACAAAATAATTGCCTTTTTATCACACGTTTTTATTCCTTTAAAACAATGTTTTTTCACTGTTTTGATAAATTTTTAGTTTTCCTTATTTATTACCGTCTAGCCACAGAGTAGAGACATACAGAGATGTAATTAGTGTACCCACTTTTTTGTGCGCATGCTCGGAAAGTTACTAGATGCATGCATCTGATTGGATGACGACCTGATGACGACTCACTTTAAACTTGCTGAGCATGCGCAGTTGATCATTTTTGCCCAGTCGCCTGAAAAAAAGTGGGTACATGATAACGTAATCTTCCGCAGTGTTTACGACGGTCAGTTACGTCTCTGTATTTCTCTACTCTGCGGTCTAGCGCATTCTAAGCTTAGCCAATCAGAATTCAGCACGTGACTTAAGCGAGCCAATAGCATTTCGTTATTTGTATAGATCATGTACGCGTGATGTTTGCAAAATTTCGACTATAAAACAAACATCTTACATTTTCCCGTTGTCTGTTCAATTATAGATACACAGCATGACGTCATATGTGATAAGAACAAAAAGTGACCGCTCGCCTAGGCGGCTCGTGGACACTTTTTTGTTCTTACCACATATGACGTCATACTGTGTATCTATAACTGAACAGACAACGGGAAAATGTAATCTATTTGTTAAAAATACACCATGTCTGGGCTTCCAGATTAATAATCATAAAACGTTTTTAAATGCATGAAATAGCGTGTTTTTCACACCTTCAAATTAGAAGCATTTCCTACATGGCACCATATATACCCTTGGGCGGCCGAACACCCTAGCTACGCCCCTGTTGCTAATAGAAGCGTCTACAGTCCTCGAGCCAATTCGATATACTAACCAAATCCAAGAATTAACGTCTTTTTGAATTTTTGAGATTATTTAATGTCAACTTACAGTACATAATTATTATATTATATTAAATAGATAACTATTTTCTACCTTGAATTTTTAATAAGGGATACACTTCAAATTCCAAATCTAAATAATCTCCGAGCCAACGGCGCGGAGCGCCGTTGCGGGCGTAATCCCGGGGCGAGGGTACTAATTCCCTCGGCTATTTACACCCGTGGAAACGAAAGCATTAGCCAAGTCTAAAGTTCATCAATGATCGCGGACGTGACCAACGATCTTGAGTAGGTGGTCATCACTGATATAAAAAATATGGCTAATTGCTTGTAGGAGTGGGATAAGCAAGATTTCAATTTTAAAAGACGTATATTTGAAAAATCGTTCCATATACAGTGCAACAAGCTTGAAGCAGTTTTGTTTGAAGAAATGAGAAGAATTGATTTACTATGGGAAATCGTGAAATATACGGCAAGTTTGCTTTGATTAATGTTTACGAATTTTGTTGCTTTAACTTTTTGCCTAAAAACTGAACTGTTTTCCTTTTCAACGAAGCTCTAAGTTTCATAAATTACTTAAATATCTTAATATGCATGTAAAGGAGAACAAATTGATTTGAAGACTGAACTGAAATTACCTAACAATTTGTTTTATTTATATTAAACTTATTATGTTTTATTAAGTAAAAAGAGTTTATCGTGAAATGTAGTTTAGTTGAATGAACATTTCAAAGCATTTTACGTAGCGTTTCAAGGTAAATTTCACATTAAATCAAAGCTCACAAAATGCAAAATAATATACCTGCTGTATATATTTTGGAAATTTATTGTTGTATAGTTAAAAGTACGAATCTTTCAACTATTTTGCAGTTTTGTACAAAAATATGAAAAAATTAAAAATTTAAGGTATCGTGTTGTCACGGCAACACTTGAGCGCGAGCCTGCGTTCAGTGTCGGCTATTTCTGAATACTTCATGTTAATTTAATGTTTGGAAAATATTGACGAGGTGTTACTGCATGCATGTATTTCTAGTTATTTGATTAGTTCAGTGATTAATAGCGTACAGAAATCCAATCCCCGAGATGATTCGATCCGCTACTCATAAGGACCATGCATTCATAATAACTCATACATGAAAATCGTTTCTTATTGTACAGCTTCCATAAAATTAAAAAAACCAGTACCTATCGTCATTTTTGATACACTCTGTACTGTAAAATCAATGGAGTCAGATTTACACAGCAGCCATCAAGGACGAAGAGACAAGTTTACGATTTCCAGTTCTGTACATGTATGTACATATCACTCTAATGTGGGTGAGAGCTTTTCCCGAACCATCCCGTATCAAAACACAGATTAGCTATTAACGTCTAACAACAAGTCAATGGACGAGATCAGGAAAATATTGAAGCTTTGGCAGACCAACGTACAGTGGTGTGGGTTATCTCCGTCAACGATTATTATATAATAGACCCTTCCGGTAATTACGTCACAGCTACATTGTTTTCAGCTTAGGACCACCTTAAATGGAATGGATTTCAAGTTTTTTTCTCACTGGCTATACGCAAAGAAGCAGAGCATCCTTCTTCAACACATGCATGAAAAAGATTTTTTTATTTTAACCAGTAAATGTGAGACTAAGCCTTAACACGAAAACGAGGCAGCTAAGGGGCCATGTCCCCTTTGGGCCCCTCAGCCTCGTTTTCGTGTTAAAGCTTATTCACGCATTTATTGGTCGAAATAATAATTTTTTTATCATGCATGTGTTAAAGAAGGATGTCCTGCATCTTTGCGCATAGCCAGTGAGAAAAGAACTTGAACTCCATTCCATTTAAGCGTGATTTAAGGTGGTCTAAGTTGTGACGTAATTACCGGAAAGGTCTATTGAATGAGCACGTTCTTGGCTCCTATCTATATCTTCACTTAAGCACTTTCACCAGTTCCTGCCAAAGTACCTCAGTGAACATATAGAATGAATCCAAAAACGCGCTCATTCAATTACATATCCTGGTCTCAGATATGAAGACGTCCTAATGGAAAGTGCGTTACCACGAGAGGAGGAACAAGGCTTGTGAGAAATTTTTTAATCAAAGTCTAGAAAACCCTGGTAATAAACTAGTTTTATATCAAAAGTAGACGTATCTTCTTATTTCCTGCAGTATAGCGGAGAAAATGAGTAATTTTCATATTTATTTGTATACACTATACGTAATCACCATACATGGTAACATTCAGGGCCGTAGCGACCGGAGGTGTGGGGGTGCAACATCCTCCTAATAATTGCCCATGAGCAATTTCAGGTAGATTTCCAGTAAATTTTCTGGTAAATTCAGGTAGATTTCCAGTAGGTTTAGGTAAATTCAGGTAATTCTCAGGGCATAAGAGAGTGAATTGGAAAAAATACCTATATTTGTGGAAACATTTTCTGTATTTTCTTAAAAATGAAGATATTTAAGGAAAAAAATTTTGCTCATTTGGTAAAATTATGATATGTGCGGAACATTTTTTGGTATGTTCGCGAAAATAACACTATGTTGCGGAAAAAAAATTGTATCAGGTAAAATCAGGTAAAAACGGTAAGTTGGATAAATCCAGATAAATCTAACTTTACCCCCCCCCCCCTCCCCCTAAGACAAAATCCTCGCAACGGCCCTGGTAACATTGCTGCAAGTTGAATGGATAATAATTGAACTATCTATCTATCTATCTATCTATTTATTTATCTATCTGTCGTCTCTGGAAGCATGATACAATACTTTGAATACTTTGCGTTTCGGCGCCAATTCGGCGTAGCAACCACACATAAGTAGGGTTACCCTATCGGGCAACATAGCCCTATCTCATGTAAACGGCTAAATTCTCGTTATTTTCTGACCAGCTTGCTAAATGCAGGATAACCGTCCTGATGGTGTCACCCTATACCTCCATGTAAACAAGCCCTAAATGGACAACTATTTTTATTCGATGGGTATCTGTATCTGTATCATAAATTTTTCATGTAGATAAGAAAGGATTCTCATTTATTCCCTTTTGTAAATTTATTTTGTATATACAGGTTTTGTTTATGTTTGTATAAGATTTATTCTTTTTCCGAACATCGCTTATAGGGATCAACATTTGTTTTCTAGTGATTAGTTCATGTCGAATAATTGTGTATAATTTATGTATATGTTGGATAGTCCTGGACGACCAAATTTTATATTTTTTCTGCTGCTGTTCTTTTTCTTTTTTACAGGAAAACAAAAGGAACCCCTAGATTTAATTATTTTATTTGGTATTGCATATGAAGTTGTTGCTACTTAATATTTGACTGTCCTCTCTTTAGCATTGCGCTTCTAATAAAATGTTACCGCTTATAGCCTTTCTGTGTATTAATGTATATATTACATCCTGGGTCACCCAAACATGCAGCACACATTGCAAATAGTTAACATTCACCGAAGCACGTAAACGAACGTATATTCAGTTATGTTAATTTGCAAACGTAAGAAATTGAATTCTGATGTAATTGATTCACATGTAATATGTGTAAATGAGACCATAGATACTGTTTGTAAAATGTGCGAATTCTAAAGACTTTATCATGTTGTCAGTTAATCACAAATTCGATTTGAAGCTATGTTGACATGTGTAGTCATGTAGATCACTATACAGGGTGTATAAAAAAAACTGAACAGATTTGAAATTGCTCTCAATTTCGCAAAACACCTATTTGTATCTGGTTTTTTATATATATAGCTTCTTTGGGTACTTATAATGTAAAATAATGAAAAAAAATTCTCGAACTCAAATTTTGTGGACCAGGGGGGTGTGTCTTTTCCAACAAATTAAAAATGGCTCGCGCACAAAATTTAAAAGATGTAATCATATTTTGAGTTAATAGATTGAAACTGTCGGGTTTTTAATTACTGTACAAAATTTCAGACAATTTGGTTTAGTTTAAGCCCTTTAACTATTCATTTTGTTCTAAAAAGTCAGCCTTTCGCATGCTTAATTAATGCCTTTACCTAATTTGCATATTGCTGACATATGCAAATTAGGCAAATGCATTAATTAAGCATGCAAATAGCTGATTTTTCGGGAAAATTGTAATTTTGCGTGAACTGTAAACAATTGTAAACCAAATTGTCTGAAAATTTGTACAGTAATTAAAATCTCGACAAATTTTCTATCTGTTAACTCAAAATATGATTGCAGCTTTTAAATTTTGTGCGCGAGCCATTTTTAGTTTGTTGGAAAAGACACCCCCCCCCTGGTTCACAAAATTTGAGTTCGAGAAATGTTTCTCATTAATCTACATTATAAGTACCCAAAGAGGCTATATATATAAAAAAAACGGATACAAATAGCTGTTTTGCGAAATTGAGAGCAATTTTAAATCTGTTCAGTTTTTTTTTTGATAGAACATTGTAATTGACCTCCGCTAGTTCCGCTTGGTGGAGATTTTAATTTAGGGCGATTAATTAAACTGAAATCTGTTCTATCACGATGCACTACAGTGCCTATGGTTATGTATATATGCATGTCCTCACATATGTTTAGTGTAACGTTGGATAGGTTCATTGTCATACGGTCCCGGCAAGCAGCAACGTACAGTAGTCTTCCAGGCGAAAATAATTACTTTTGATTAGGCTCAGTAATTATAATAGATAATTACTTCGGCCAACTGGCATTATTGGATATATTGCAGCCAGCTTCGGCGTTCGGCCTCCGGCCTCAGGTGGCTGCAATATGTCCAATAATGCCGTTGGCCTCAATAATTATCTAATAAATAGTTAAATACAGGAACAATTTAGAGAATTTACTGACGCAATTATTTAACTCTATTTATTCATTATTTGGGATATTTTGTGGACGAGTGAATGATATACATAGCTAGCTTTATTGATTGCACATAGCAGAATGATAGTCACTTCAGATATTTATAAAATATATCAAAGTACCGAAAATATAATTAGGTGCATATAACTGATCCATCATTAGTAATAGTTGTACTACAGTCGAAGAATGTGATAAGTGGACAATTGGCAAAATTGCTGTCTACCAGTTTAATACAGTAAGAACCATACATAAAATGCTTAGCAGTATCAAACAAGTGAAACTTGGCCGCAGTATTCCCATGCTATGCATACGATGTATTGTACATTATATCAACATATACTCGTCTGACGAGAATAGTTGTCCAGCTAAACATGTATGTCAAAATTATCACATCTTCTGGTTTTAAATCAACAATTCTGACGGATTTTGTGCAAGGACAGCTTCGGGTTCCGTTTCGCTTTGGCCGATGCTTGCCGGAAGTACACTTATTTACCGGAAGTTGTCGTCTCCTCCGCAGGCTCTTCGATCTTCGACTACGCGCGCGGCTCGACACAAATGGAAAAAAAAAATAGGAGCCGAATTTAAGACCTCGGTGTCGTACCGACCCGAGGTAATTATGCCAAACGTTTATCCAATAAGAGCTTGCTATTATACGGTTGAGAACGGATTGAGTTCTATCAGCCAATCGGGAAGTGTAGTTTTGACGATTGTTTCGTTCAGTAATGAGGCTTTACGTTCGTTTACGGAGTTTGACTAATGGTCGCGGGTCGCGTGTCGCGGGTAAAAAGTCGCGGGTAAAATGTCGCGGGTCGCGGGTAAAAAGTCGCGGGTCGTAAAAAAGCTCTAAACCATGTATTTTATTCAGTCGCGGGTTGAATAAAGTGTGTAAATCATATTAACATCCTAGTTCTCTGCGCATCGATCAGTACTTTCCAGAAACAAGTGCTAGAGAACAGCGACTTAAATATCTGGGTTGTTGGTGAATCATAACTGATGTACTTTTATAATGTCCTAGCATAGATATATCTATTATTTGTGATACTATATGGTTGTTTCAGTTAAATTGATATAAAACTGATTGTAATAGTAGTGGTAAACTGAATGTATTCCTACCATAGTCTTGTTTGTTTCTTTCAGAACATATTTTTTGATTAGAGGATTTTTGTCATGGTATAATTGTTGGTTTAACATATTGAAATTATTCTTTCAAGTTTTAGGCTTCTGGCACGTTTATATTATAGAACCATTAAATCATCACAAAAGGCTCTTGAGCAATATTTCGTATTGACTCAATCTTAAATGGTTGTTTAATAAATGACAATGTGATTTTATACACTTTATTCAACCCGCGACTCAATAAAATACACGGTTTGGAGCTTTTTTACGACCCGCGACTATTTCGGCCCGCGACATTTTACCCGCGACATTCTACCCGCGACACGCGACCATTAGTCAAACTCATTAAATCATGACAAAAGGCTCTTGGGCAATATTTCGTATTGAAGCAATCCTATATAGTTGTTTACTAAATGATAACGTGATTTTTACACACTTTATTCAACCCGCGACTCAATAAAATACACAGTTTGGAGCTTTTTTTACGACCCGCGACTTTTTACCCGCGACCCGCGACACGCGACCTTTTATCCGCGACACGCGACCCGCGACCATTAGTCAAACTCTCGTTTACATGCTTCGGTGCATGTTAACTAATGAGACAGATAGGTCATTGGGTCATTTATTCGAAAACATATTTTAAGCATTTAGTGCCATATATATTCAAGACACAGATATACGTCTTGATTTAATTTCAAGACACATATACAGTAGACGTCTTTGTTTTAGAAAATAATGGTTAGAATTAGGTTTGCAATGACCACCCTGTGCATGTGCATTCAGATGACACATCAGGACACAAGCCAGATTGGTAGATCGCTCTGGTTCTACGACGTAAAAGTTATTGATAAAAAATGACTCGCTCTGCTAGCTAAGTCTGCTACAAACTGCGAGTGCCAATGGAACTTTTTAACCATGTATGAGCATTCAGAAGTTTGAAGCCAAGAAAAAACAACATATATCATACCAAGGCGGGTATTCGTCTGCGCATATCAACTTTGTATAGTATTGCAGTGTTTCCGTACATACATTATGTAAGTCAGGGAAATACCGCTTTCTGTTACCCGTTGAGAGCGAGAAATTCTGCTAACTGATTATTGTGCATCCGGGATATTCCATTCTGTAAATAACCCAGGAATACTGATCAGCAATATTCCAGACCGTATTCATACCAGAAATATCACGCATGCAATATTATGATATTCCCTGCCACATCCGATACGGATGATTTATTATATCCGACTGTCCCTTCTAGGCCAGACTCGTATAGAGACGGGAATAATTATTTAATTTGTCCTATTGGTCCCCGAATACTGCTATATATATTTTTTAATTTTTAGCGGCGACTTAGACCTAGAATAGTGTTCATATAAAAGTTAATTAATCGTTGTTATAATAAATAACGATTATTATTGGTTATAGTGAAAACGTATGGCAAGTATTTTAGGAAGTTGCTGCAAAAAACGGCTGTGGAGAAAACTATTTTCCATGAGAGTTATACTTGGAAAAGAAGCTCATAGCTTCCTTAGTGCGTTGTCCGCATAACTAGGCTGAAACGGAACTGAAATTATAATAAAGCGGATCATGACAACAATTACTGAACAAAGTTCAAAAGAAATCATTGCTATTGACGTCGGCCGAGAAGTTCGAGGAACGCGTTTACCACGCGTTACATCCTGTGAAAACATCGCTTTGAACTTGAAGGTGTTACATAAAGGCAGCCTTATAGTAGTATAGCCTACAGGCCCGTTCACACAGGCGATTTTTGCTAGTGCGATTTTAGGGCGATTTTCTTCTTCTGATGGACGCATGTGAAAGAGTGGATGAGTTATAAATGTTCCAGGTTATGAAATTTCATAACAACGTCATTAAGTAATCTTATTCTACTCCTTCATATCCTCCGAAACTGGAGAAAATCGCAACTAAAATCGCAGCAAAAATCGCCCGTGTAAACGGGCCTTACCATGCACAGTCCCAATTATGACCCCACGTCGTTTTTCCTGTGTAATTAAAATTAAAAGCTAAACTTACAGTATTTATAGAGCTAAACTTCAGTACTAAAAAGCTGAACTATATATTTACATTTATTTATATAAATGTAATTTAATCTTTAATTTAATATATATATATATATATATATATATATATATATATATATATATATATATATATATATATATATATATATATATATATATATATATATATATGGTTATCTGACTAGTTTAACATGCATTTAGTTCATTCATGCACATAACCTGTGGCTGTGTCATCTGAGTTTAAATTCAATTACTAATATTTCCATTATTAATTACAATTATTAATACGAAGGAGAATTCAACAATTCTGTTGTTCCATGCAGTATTAAAATATATTTAATTATTTTTGTTACGTTATTATGGTGTAGCACGTTTTTATATAGTATAAAATTAGTACTATAAACATGTGCAGGCAGGCACAACTATATTTTAGCCAAATTATAAAAGAAAATCGTTATTAATATAAACAATTACAGTATAGTATGGGTTATAGTAGAAACATATTATAGCAAGTATTTTTAGCAAGTTGCCGCAAAAAAACTGGCGGAGAAAACTATTTTTCATGAGAGCTACTTGGAACAATAAAGCGAACTATAGGAAATTATATTGGCTTTCTTATCGCATAGTCCGCATAACTATAGGCTGAAACGGATTTAATAAAGCGGATCAATAATAACTGGAATGGAAGTGACTACTTAGCTACGTCCTATATTGACGTCGGGGAAGTTCGAAGAGCGCGTTTACCACGCGTTAAATCCTGTGAAAACATAGCTTTACGACATCCTGTCTGCATGCATGCATGGATTGAATATAACACGTGTTTTCAGTGTACCATCTATATTTGATATAACACGGATATGCTAGCATTCCATAGCGAAATGAGGGAGGGGATAAATGATATAAATACCGAGCACAGAACAGCGAGTAGTTGTAATCATTGTATAGCAGTCAGTGCGTGTAAGCAGCACCAAAAAGCAGTGGTATAAGAAGGACGACCTGTGACAGTGGCATTCGTACATCTATATATACTTTTGGTGAGTAATACAAATTGCAATTATTAGCATTGTGCCTTCTTAGCTTTTGGGCAATGTACATATATTAGATCATTAATTATATGCAATCCTAAATCACTACAAGAAAGTTTGTGAAATGTACGTCTTCCTCATTTCCTATGATATTGGGTTGCATGCATGGATACTTATATAAAAAACAGCTTACATGCACTGAATGCGCTACATTTTTGGTTCGGCACGGATGAGATTTGTACATGAGTACACGTATTTTTAGCAGTGCTAGGACACCTATATTATACACTCAGGCTGGCTTGGCCCATGCAGGTTTTGAAGATTATTTTATTTATATTTGAAATAATTCTATACGCATTCCTAAATTTGTGTCTACGTTTCTAGGCAATTTTTAAACGCTTCCTTTCAGTTCAATATGTCTAAAAATCGGTCGAAACGTTCCAAACGCGCAGCCCTGCATGAACGATCCAAGCACGCCAACTACTGCAAACACTATATCCGTATTCATAAAACCAAGTATGTTGAAGTAACACAATTTTTTTTCATTTTTATAAGACATGTGTATATGTTACATGTACGAACCCAACAGAAAATGTGTTTTTGCCTGTCCACTAAAACTGTACACATTCAAGCTCCAAATGGTGTGTTTCGATCAATCAATCAATAAATTTATTCAAGGTACAATGATATTTACACACAAAGGCCTTGAAGGAGCAGCCAGAGGTTATAACGAACTCCTTCTACATACGTGAACGTAATTTGAAAATTTAGAGATAGAATATCAATGTACAAGAGTTAAAGTAAGTTCATATACCGCTTGAGTTGACTTTTGAATTCGTTTAAAGTAGTTACTTCAACAACTCTGCCAGGCAAACTATTCCATGAACTGATAATTCTGACCAAAAATGAGTACTTATATAACAATTAATTTTAGGTAGTTTAGTATGTCTATATTCTAGGACATGCATCACTAAATGTTATGCCGTTGAGGCCAAAAACTGTTTTATAACACTCTATATATAAAAAAAATTCTCTACGCTTTTCTAAAGTATCCCATTTTAATACGTCACGCCTTGAGTATCAATGCGACAGTGCAGTGAGTGCAATACTTTTATACTTTGCTGACAGTATGCCACGGGGAAAATATATCACACCCCATAGTTTCTGCGCACTTTGAGGAACATTTGAAATGGACAAACCTAGGATCCGAGGAACATTGGATACTTTTTCCAAATCTGAACACAATTCAAATAAGGTTACGTGACTGAGAGTGGCAGAGATAAAGCTTGATAGTGCCTTATTAAAGTTTCATAATCGGATTCAGTTTTGTTAATCGTTTATAGTCATTCGAGAGACTCGAACATGTGATTCCGATGAGTCTGTGACCAGTGGCGTAACGTTATATCAGGCATTCAGGGGGCCCCCGGTTCAAAATTTTCGAAGGCCCCCCTAGTAGAAGTGCCAAAGGCACGAGTCGAGCGCCGTATATGCACGAATTATCTATAGGGGGTCCAGGGCATGCTCATCCGTGAAAATTTTTAAATTTAGACTCTCTGAAATGCCATTTCCTTTGACTTTGGGGAGAGATTTTACAGAATTCTGATGGTCATCAGAGGCCCTGACCAATGTTTTTGCTCTATCGCCTAAGCCTGGGGGCCCCCATTTAGGTTGGAGGCCCCCGGGTTCTCCCGGTCTGAGCCCATAGTAGTTACGCCACTGTCTGTGACTCAAGAGTGTTGCGTTTTCAGCTTCAGTTGGGGAAACATGTTCTGCACTCCCAAAAAATTTAAGACCTGTATGCCTATGATCGAGATACACCATGATTCGTGCACAGTTTAAGATTATTTTTACATTGTATCGGATAGCTTGTAGAGCGACGCAAAACCCATATACCGGATAGGGCCTGTGTTTACATATGAAATGCATGATGGACTCGTATCAATTTGTTCATCGACGCGTCGGTGCGGCGCGCTACTCTTCCAAGTGGTACGTGTTGTACCGGGTTGGTTTTGGCAATGCTGTCATTGTAACGTTAACAGCATGCAGTGATAGCAATAGAAGATACCTACAAACAAACAAACAAGCACTTGCTTTTCTAACCTTATTTTTTGGTATAATCTCCAATATTTTTGTTTTTGGTGAATATACAGCTAATTCAATTAACGTTGTCCTTCCAAAACCTTAAACCTTAAATTCTGAGCGCGCAAGGGATGATGAGTTATTGCTTATTTAGACTCATAAACTTGGCTTTGTAAGAATACCTAAGACATATAAAAGACTCTCAACAGAAAATATACTTGCTGCAAAGGCAATGGAAGGACAACCTTAATTGAATCAGCTGTATACAAGAATTGACGAAGGAAATAGGAGTGGGCAGCTGGCCCCGCTGCTCTGCCAGCCCTGATTTCATCAGTGGAAGAGCAAGTCAGCAAAATGTTGCTACCCATTTTGTTCCAATAATCGGACAATTCTAAATCGACTGCTATATATTTCAGGTATGTTTCCTATTGTTCCTCGTTCCAAAGCCCCAGGGGTCGACTTATGCGGCGATGATTATTACGGTCACCACTACATCATTCGATCAGATGCTGGTGTTTACATGAGATCAGACAACTTGAACAAAGTAAGTAATATAGAGGTATTTGATATTCACTACTCGTGCAAGGGGGGAGATCACTACCTGGCTAACAATGGCTACTTCTATATCATCAATGGTACCAATTACCGCAGAGTGACTAACATGACTACTGATGCCGACTCTACAGTCTATGCACTCCATCCCAATTGCCAAGGTGGAGATCACTACTTGTCCATGTGTGGCAAATTTTACATCATCTACAAAGATCGAGGTATCTACAGGAGGACAACCAACATGAATAAAGACGAGAATGCTGTGGAATATCATCTCCATCCCAGCTGCAGAGATGGCCTTTACTACTGGGGCAATATGAATAACAACTTGGATAGAGTTGATAATTCCTTTGCTATGGGTGTTGTAAAATTTCTACCAGGTGGACTAGCGACCACAAACGGACCTGCTTTTGGAGAATGGGAGCTTTTAAAGAGTTTTGAGAATACATCCCATGTTACAGTTGATTGGTCCAAGCAAGTCAGCCATCAAAGGGGAGCAAAGAGGGAAAAGCTGTCAAGTATCGAACACGACTGGAACTTCAAGGTGACCGCCAGTTACAGCAGTGGAAAACTTGCTGCAAACTTCGCCAAATTCCAGATATCCTTGGAAGCAAGTTATGGCGGAAAGTATGTTAACACCACGAAGGAAAGCTGGGATGACGTGACGACGGTGACAGAGAAAGTAAGTGTATCTGTACCTCCTGACCAGCAAGTCTGTTTCTGGCAATACAAAGTTGGCTTGGGAGACGAGGATATCCTTTTCTGTCCGAAAATGAAGATGACCCATAGTAAAGATCCCCCTACTGAAATTCCTCTTAAGACTGTATAATTTCTGCATAACCTATAGTGGCTCTGTTCGCTCCATGTGAGGTAATCCAGGAGGTATTTGGATTCCGGATCCCACTGCTTGGATTCTGGATCCTATTCCTTGGATTCCGGATTCCACATCTTGGATTCCGGATTCCGAAACTATAGTGGATTCCGGATTCCAATTTCAGGGCCGTAGCTAACGTGTATAGTTGGGGGGAGGTGTAGGCCTAAAATTTCCGAATGACGAAAACATTTTCCGAATATTGCATGGCATGCGAAGCCACGAAGGTGTTTGCTATCCGGAAAATGAAGACGCTATTTACAAACAAAAATACGCATATTTTACGCACAGACATATTAAAGTACATGCCGTAGAAAGTTCTTTTTGATTGGAGGGCAGAGAACGAGGGCCGAAGGCCCGAGGAAATTTTTAAATTTAGAGTCTCTGAAATGCCATTTCCTGGACTTTGGGGAAGTTTTGACAGAATTCTGATAGTCAGAAAATAGTGTTTTAGTTTGTCGAAATTTACAATTTGCTTACAATTTAGTAGTAGTAAATGGGCGAAGGCGTATTTAATTAACTATACATATTGGAGAAATTGCAGGAAAGTATGGGTAATAGATTCTTTGCAGTTTGTCATGGATAATGTAACCGCTTAAAATTAATCAATTGTCCGTATTTTAAAGGTTAAATGATAAAGGTCTGCATGATTTTGAAAAAAAGAATGATTATAAGCAAATTATTGGGAGGGCTGCACCACACAGCCCCCCCCCCCCCTGTTGCTACGGCCCTGAGAAGTAATAAACCGAAAAATATTTACCGATTTAATTACTATTTGTTAAATGTTATCCATGTAAATGCCATGATTTCGTAAATCAGTTTATACTGATACTACAATTATATTAGTTTCTCTGCTTAACAACTAAAATTTCGTTATACTATTATTGACCTAATTTTCCGAATGGCCAACCCGATTTTCCGAATATGTTAATTCTCAAAAAAGTTGGGGGGGGTGTTAACCATTCCCCCCCCCCCAAATACCCCTCGCTACGGCCCTGTCAAATTTATTATTTTGTGTATTGCAAAGCCAATATCAGTTCCCAGTGCATCTGAGTTCACAGTACTAAATAGCATTTATTTTCGAGGAAATTGTTAAAATGTTCACAAGTAACTCTAATTAATAATAAATTTTATATAGCAGACATAACTTATAGGTGTAATGTTTCAAAACGGACAGGCGCACTATATTTTTGTATCAAACACAGGCTCGATTTGATGTAAACGACCTTCAGCGTTTTAATATTTCATGCGAAATTAAAAAAAAATGCATTTTATTCTAATGTAAATGTATAGACGGGTCAAGTGTCTGGTTGGCTGGGCACCGAGTATATATAAATAAAATAAAATAAGATTGACAAGGAAATAATACACACCTTTTCTCATTTGATTCCTTACTGTGTTTGGAATGTTTCCCCATGACCAAGTCCGAAAAATCGCTTCGTAGTCGACTCAAAAGCTTAAGATGCACCAAGATGCACGAGCTTAAGATGCACTTAAGATGCACGAGCTTAATCTACAGCCCTGGGCAAACTAGGAAACATTGTTTTCTGCCAATGTTCGCCATGTTTCCCAAGGTGGACAAACACTAAGAAACAATATTTCCGCAACAAAAATCGCACTTGGGAAACATGAAATATTTCTGAATTTGATAGGAAAATTTCTGCTTCTCGGGAAGCAAATTGTGTTTCTATAACGATGTTTCCACGGGTGGCAAACACAGTAACACTTGACGAAACATGGCGAATCAATGTTTCCGCAACAATGTTTCGTAGTTTGCCCAAGGCGGCGTCGGACGTGACATAAAAACCGTTGCTAATGTTTGGAATCCAGTTTTATTATATGCAGCTTCACTTGCGTCTCTGACTTTGTTTACCAACTGGAGGCCATAATTTTTATCCGTGTAGTGAAACTGTGGGAATCCGAACGACTGCGTCGTAGATTTGGTGCATCGTAAGCTCGCTATTGTATATAAACGGCACCAAGATGCAAACGGTATATAAGAATGTGCATTATACACCGGCTAGTAATCGGAAGGCGAGCGGGCGCAAACAGTTTCTCAAACTTGAAAGAGCCTGGACATATTTCTTGGAGTTAAATAAAAGAGGAGATGGTTAACAATGTTTTTTATGTTTTTATGGGTTTTTTTTCTAAATTAATAACTGACATGAATGGATTCCAGAACGACCTGGGCTCTGGATTCCGGATTCCTCAGTTATTTGGATTCCGGATTCCACTGTCTGGATTCCGGATTCCAAGACTCTGGATTCCGGATTCCTAAACCAACCAAAAGTCGGATTCCGGATTACCTCACAAGGGGCGACTCTGTATGAAGAAACAGCCGTTTGAAAAGCACGACATTATCTGAACTGTGCGTACTGCAGCTTAAACCTTTTTAATTTTTGTAGATTGTGATGAGCACTCATCACGTATGTTCAACATAAAAAGTTCAACGTAATTTACAAATATACGTAAATTTTACGCGGACGGTGTGTTGTTGTCAAGGCAATATTTTGTATCGGTATAATTTAAATTATTCCACATGCACTAGTTATTGAGCGGTGGTACTAATATCCATTCCGAGATACCACGCGACATATAATGAAGTACGGTTTTTCGGACAGTGCAATTTCGTTTCATATTTTAAGGAGATTGTCGGAGTTATAAAATCTGACATCGTAACGATCTTTTAACAGACAGGTCAGTCAGAATCCAGCCGCTTCCAATAGACATCAGAAGTGCTTCTGTCACGTTGTTTTTTTTAACAGATATGAATGCGCGGTGCATTGTGGGTTATGTTTGGGTCATAATACATTGTTTGAAAATTTTGTGACGCACGCATTTCTGAAGTCTATGGCATGGCTTAAATTCAAATGTTGTTAACAGTTTCCAATCAAAGTTTTCGATAACTTTTAGACCATTCGCAGGATTACTGTAAGGTACTGCATTACGCAGTATATTTTGATTCATTAAGTTGTTATGTATGTTTCTGTCTGCTTTAAAAGGAGCATTATTTGAGAGAATGGGGGTTTCGGACCAGGTTTATTGGTAACTATGATATTTTTATACAGCATTTTAGCACGGACGCCCAACTCAAAAATGGCATCCAAAAGGACAAAGACCACTCAGTGCATCAGTGCCGAATTATGTGCAATAAAGTGTAATATAAGACTAGGACCTGTATATGAGTTTGTATCCATTTCAGTTAGGACAGATAATCTCAACTGTTTTAGGGAAAGTTGACCATGACGGTCAACATGGTAACGTTGCCCGAACCCCAATCCGGGACAAACCGTCCGAAACCGACCACACCCAAAAACGACGCTTTCGCCATCGTGTTATCTACCAAACCATAAAAGCTTTGGCTATTCTAAGGTGCTTATATGGTTCAGAGATGGTGCTTTTAGGGGTGGTTTTTGGTAAGTGTCAAATGCCTAGCACTGATATTTCACAAGAAAATGAAAACAGCAGTGGACCTACATTACCTTTTTTCATAAATCCCGTGTCGGTTGTCAACAATTCGGCCTCGTTTTTCTTTTATCCAAACCATGATTTCGATTGCATCAATAACAAATTTAACCCTTTATCATGGTCTCAAAATCAAAATCAAAATATCGATAAAAGATATACGAAACACAGCACTTTACAACCCTTAAAATGTTGCTTACGAGTCTTTCAAAACATTCCGTAAAAATCTCGCGTGACATGGCCGTGACAGGGGTTGAATGTTTTTCACTAAGATAGAAGAAGGCTGTGTGATATAGACTAAAAACTAAATACATTCATACAAACGTTTGTTTTATTAACATTATATAGCCACAAATAAATACATATTAGTAAATATACATGCAGCATGCAGCAACCCTCGCCTTGCTGACAAAGACTTGTTAAAGTAGTTGTCATTGTAACACGATAATTTTATTGAGGTGAGACTTTTTTATTCATTGGTTACAGATCTTCCGACCGTATGAACATTCAGAAAGTGAAAAATAGAATAAAAATTTTTATTCAATTTCGGGTTCTGATATGAAGTATGCGCCAAGTAAACCTCGACTCTAAGCACTGCTAACTCATGTTATCGTTGTGTCATGTAAAATAAAAACATCTATTTTAAATATACTCAGTGTGTTTTTTAAATTTTTCCGACCTATATACCGACCTCTTTTTTTAAAGTCAAATTCGTAAACCAATAAATAAAAAATGTCTGGCCTAAGAATAGTTTTACAAATGAAAAATCCCCTAAAATATCACTTTTATTAATTACAAAATTATCAATTTCCCGAACGTATATATGTTACGTATGTTATTATATGTAATATAAGCTTCCATTTAAAGTAAAATTTAACCACAAACTCTTCGCAAAACGTTTTAAAATGTTCTTTATAAAATTAAACTGCCTTTCAGTAATTCAGATCTATAAACTTTGAGTTTGAAATAACTATAAAATAAATTCAAATTCTCGCGTGCAAATAACTTTGCTTTCTTTTTATTTAAAGATTTTAATAGTAAAAAAGGATAATCAACAAAGATACACTGAAATTATATGCGGTCCTTTTAAAACAATTATAAAGCAAACAATAGCCCACATCAATAGTTTTAAACAAACTTACCGTCGTTAACGTCGGCGCCTTTGCTCCCTTCTTTCGGCTTTTTTTTCTCAGAAAGCTTTCGAAATTTATACAATTTGCAAAAATGAAATATATTTGCAAGAAATCATCAAATCAAGAAATGTTTGCTATTTCGCTGTCGTCATGCAGACGTTATAATGCAAATTTCAAACTGGACAATCAGTGTTCGCTATTCATGACAGTCCGCTATATTATTATTATTATTATTATTATAATTATAATTAATTAATCTCCAAACATTTGGTTTTTCAGATAAATATACATGTAAATTATATCTAAATTATTCTATTGTATATTTACAGTTTAAAATCGTTAAAATTAGATAAGTTCATTAAGATTTTAAAAGAAAGAGTTCAAGCAGATAGTTATAAAAATTGCTTTTAAAGTCTTTACAATTGTCATATACAGTAATGTTACTAGGTAGAGAGTTCCACAGGGATACTGCTCGGTATTCAAATGTTCGTTGTCCGGCCGCCGATCTATAAGCTGGAATGTTTAGTTTTTGTTTATTTCTGGTGTTTCTATCGTGTAAAGATAATCTCTCCTGAAAATATGAATTGAGATAGTCAGGGGCTAGTCCATTCAAACATTTGAACGTTAGAACGCCAACAAAGCATTTTAACATGTCTGAGACAGGCAGCCAATTCAGTTGTTTGAGTATTGGAGTAATATATGCTCATATTTTTGTGTTCCTGTGATTATTCTCGCCGCGACGTTTTGCACTTTTTGTAATTTTTCTATGTTCTTCTTAGTCGTACTGGACCATACGTTTGAGCAATAATACAATTTGGAAAATACTAGGGACGAGATGACATTTTCCAAAATCTTTGGGTCAAAAAGATGTTTAACCCTGTTTATCTGACATAAGCTCGCAATACAAGTAGAAACAGTGTTTGCTATATGTTCGTTAAAACTTAGTGTTGAATCAAGATGAATCCCAAGATCGCGTGCTGAAATAGTGGGAGTAATCCTTTTCTCAAGTAATGTCACATAAAAGTCATCCGGTAATCGTTGCAACATTTTGTGTGTTCCTAGTACTAACACTTTGGTCTTGTCTGGATTAATTATAGTAGACTATTGTGACAGCACCATGCTGTGATTTTTGACAGGTCTTCATTGATATTCCGCATAACTTCATTAACATACTTGATGGGAAACGAAAGATACAATTTTGAATCATCTACGTACGATTCTAAGTCACCGAAATTCGGGATGGTGGGCAAATCATTCAAATATATATTGAACAAAGCAGGTCCTAATATCGAACCATGCGGTACACCATGAGTGATATGACCTGGTTCTGACACAACTGAGCCAATCTTCACCTGCTGCGTCCTTCCGGTCAAGTAACTTTTGAACCATTCTAAGGCGCCAAGGCTTAGGCCTATATTATGAGATCAGTTAGGATCACTACCCACCCAACTACGAACCACGCACGGTAATCCACGCCCGCGATCGTTGATGAACTTTAGACTTCGCTAATGCCACAGAATACTACACAGAAGGCCATCTCCATTGTTTTTTCATAAGCACTATTCGTCATAATTTGTTACTCAGCTGCAAGTACTTTAAATATACTGCTGGAAATATTCAAAATGGCGCTGTGTGGGAGAAAGCCATGGATATTTCCGGGTGGGACTACCTTTTAGAGTACTTGCTGAGTGACAAATCATGACGAATAGCGCTTACGCAAAAAACAATGTAGATGGCCTTCTGTGTAGTATTCTGTGCGATTGGTTTCCTTTCCCCGAGGATAAATAATCGGGCGGAATTAGCCTTTCTTACGCCGCCATTTTCGAGTGGCTTTTCAGCCAAAGTGGAGATTAGTCCCACATAACGGCGACTTTTTATAACTTTTTGACGAATAATGGTAAACTTGCTTTGTTAATTGTTAGTTTATTTTGAAAAATTGCTTTTCACATTGTTTTAATTGTCTGCGTTGGTTAACGAGAATTAGATGCAACCCGAATATGGCGGATATTCGTCATCGTGAGAAAGGCTAATTACTACCCTCACCTCAGACTTACACCCGGAATGGCGCTCCGCGCCGTTGGCTAGGGGATTATGACTTGAGTTGAGACCATAGATATCTTATATACACTAGATAGCGCATCTCTTTTAGTAAAATTGAAGCCAAGAATATTCCAGCGGTTACCCCCATTTGAATAGATGGCGGCCATGTTGGTCGTTCCCACTTGCTAATAAACGCTTAAAAACAACAATAACTTTCATTATTTGAATAGTTTAAAAACGTATTTGGAATAGGGTTAACTTAATGTTTGAGTTCCCTGTTTAAGAAATAGAAAACATACGAATCTTCTCATTTCATGGGAACGACCTGAGACTGCAATCACGGCTTCAATTTTTGAATTGCAGAATAATTAGATGCACTATCTAGTATATATAAGATATCTATGGTTGAGACATACATCTATTTTAATTAAGGTAGTACCCCGAGCAAAGCGGAAATGTCGAATACGAGCGCGAAAGGAAATAGAAATAAATGAATGAATTTATTAGTGATTCCCAGCAGCCTTTCGCGCTCGTATTCAACTTTTCCGCTTTGCTCGGGGGACAACCTTAATTGAAATAGCTGTATACAAGCGAGTCTGGGGATTTGTTGATAGGAGTTGACGTAATTGTGCGTACGATTTCTTCGTCAGAGACAGCTACAAATTTAAACAGATCAGAACGATAAAATGCAGAATCACTTAGGGGTGGACTATTAACATATGGTTCGACATTATTGTCTGCAGACAACTTATTTACTGCTTGAGCTGTATTTTCCCCAACAATTGCAAAGTAACTATTGAATTCCTTGGCTAGTTTCGTGCTAACCTGAGATCAGGCTCTATTTTACAAATATAGTCTGACACAAACCTTAATCCGATAGGTTTCCACTCACAGCAAAGTTTATATTTAGTACCCAATCAAAATGTCGCAGCAGAAATTTAAATTTCACACAACGACAACAACACTCTAATTATAGTTGTGAACACTATAAAATATATTATCAACAATAGTATAATATAATTAACACCAACGAATCAAATGGCAGATTAAAAATATCTTTGTCTCATGGACCAATCAGATTTACAACCGAAATACGGTTGTAAAAACATGGACTTTCGTTAAGGTTTGCATCAGGCCTATTTATTTATTTATAGCGGCCTGATCGCAGGTTAGTACAAGAGCGTCAATAGATTTGCCGAGTACAGCGCTATTTCTGATCCGAATAGACCTGCAAGTGAAATTCGAAAGCTCCTTGTTATGACAGCTAGACGGCTGGAGTGGTTGTTTTTCCATACTCGATTTAAGGATTTATAAAAACTGGGTAATGGTCACTGATCAATTCTTTGATAACTCCGCTAGATTTTATCGAAGTTAAATCGGAGACCAAGATAACGGAGACAAGGATAACATATCAGAGACCATTGATAAATGAATAGCAATATATATTCACTAGTCTCTTTCACGCAATGTTCGGCAACGCAATTCTCCGTTTCGTAAACCGCCAGGGTCACCAGTAACAATCAGTGTCACCATTTTCACCATTTTCACCATTTTCACATCCGGTGAATATGAAATGAGATATTCACCAAGCGAAATGCGCGTTTAATACGTGGCGCAACGTGTTAACACGAACTCAACAAACACAACCGACACCTTCGCTAACTAGAGTCTGCGCGATACTTAAAAGTATCATATCGTGATTATCCGATAATATCGAAATGAATGCAGCAAAACTATATGCAACAAGACGCCGACTCGGCGTTAACCTCGGGTCGGTGGATAGGGGATCGTCTGGTAAATATCCAAAAATTGTGTAAATCACGATAGTTTAATAGTTCACTAGTATAAATGGTGAATCAGTTAATCAAAGGTCCGTTTTAATATTTTATTGATAATAATTACTGGCCCTCATCAAACCTATTGTTTTTCTCTGCATTATATCAGCGAATGTCGAGAAGTTTTCATTTAACGTTCTACTGAAAAACGGGAGCGGCCTTTTTGGTTGTATAGGGAAATTCCGGCTCAGGGGTAAATGTTTATACGCGTCATATTCTATGTACGCGTTAAAGGAGATTGGCAACAAAAATTGCTTCATCTATCTTATTGCTTCATCTGAAAGAGCATGAAAAAATAAGCCGATTGGCCGTTTAATGCTCTATTCTATCTCATCTAGTTCCGAAGTTATACGCAAAAATGTGAAAATATAAATTGCTGATTCAGCACAACGTGTGACGTCATTAGCTGGGTAAGTATGTTTATTGAATACTACACTGAAGCATAGCTCAGTTATTATGGGCCCAAATCAAATGAAATTTTGCATACTGATTGTACATGATGAGACGCATGGAAAAACACTTCTAATTTTGTTGCCAAGGTAACAATGTCGTTTCCAGGTCCCTTGCGCCAATTTTATGAAACAGCTTTATTCAAGGTACTGATAAGAATAAAATAATATCAGAAGTATGTGTATGATACCTATGAATGCCAAAAGTTTACTTGCATGATAATAATTCGAAAATGACATACACATAGATAAATGCAACTAGTTATTCAAAATCAGTGTAAGAGGCCTGGGAACGACTGTGTTGCCTTGACAACGAAATTAGAAGTATTTTTCCCATGCATCTCATCATGTACTATCTGTATGCAAAATTTCATTTGATTTGAGCTAATAATAACTCAGCTATGCTTTAGTTTACTATTCAATAAACATACTTACCCAGCTTATGACGTCACAGAATGTGCTGAATCAGCAATTTATATTTTGCACATTTTTGCGTATAACTTCGGAACCAGATGAGATAGAATAGAGCAGTAAACGGCCAATCGGCTTATTTTTTCATGTTCCTTCAGATGAAGCAATAAAATCAATAAAATTTTTTGTTGCCAATACCCTTTAAAATAGCACACAACATTATTAAAAATAATGCAGCGTGCATCAGTGCACACAGACATTATTAGCAATAATGCATCTTCGTCACCCTGACATGTACACGCGATAAAGGCCGGCGCACACTAGAGCTATGTGCTTAGCAAAATGTCATTCGTGCCTGTTGGCGTAAGGAGATAGCTCTCGTGTGCGGGCGATTTACGAACGACTTTTGTCATTCGTGCCACTTACGCCGAATATCTAACATGTTTGATAATTTCTGCCTCGCGTGCCAAATTCTTTCCGTGTGCGGCGAACGAAAGCTATCTGCTTACGGATTGTCGTAACAGCGCATGCGTAGTATACGAAAGTAAACATCCAAGATGGCGGCGCAAAATGAATTGCTGGCCGAGGCAATTTTAGAGGACAAACTTGTCGAACTTTGGCCTGAATACAAATGTTTATACGATGTGAGTTCTGCAGATTTTAGAAATAGGGACAAAAGGGAATGTGCGGTGAAAGAAATAGCCAGTAAGCTTTCTCAACCAGGTAATATATTCGCCATCTTGGATGTTTACTTTCGTATACTACGCATGCGCTGTTACGACAATCCGTAAGCAGATAGCTTTCGTTCGCCGCACACGGAAAGATTTTGGCACGCGAGACAGAAATTATCAAACATGTTAGATATTTGGCGTAAGTGGCACGAATGACAAAAGTCGTTCGTAAATCGCCCGCACACGAGAGCTATCTCCTTACGCCAACAGTCACGAATGACATTTTGCTAAGCACATAGCTCTAGTGTGCGCCGGCCTTAACGTGAACATCCCAAGATGAGAAGGTGACAGTGCTAAAGGCCCCCCATACGGGGTCGTCGGGTGCCTGAAGCACTGTTGGAAACGGTCGCTGTGAGTCTTTTCAGTTCAATTTTATAGAGAAATAGTTTCGTTTGCGCTTGTGGGATTTTATCCTAGATATACGCATGTGCAGAATACACCATAAGTTCTATTCCCGTGTTTATCCAATACGCTATTTGAGTAAACCTTACCATTAATGATAATATGTAAACTAGAACACTATAATTGACCTCCGCTTGTGGAGATTTTAATTTAGAGCGATTAATTAAACTGAAATCTGTTCTATCACAATGCACTACAGTGCCTATGGTTATGTATATATGCATGTCCTCACAAATGTCTAGTGTAACGTTGGATAGGTTCATTGCCATACGGTCCCGACAAGCAGCAACGTACAGTAGTCTTCCAGCCGAAAATAATTACTTTTGATTCGGGTCAGTAATTATAATAGATAACAAGTGAAAGTTGGCCGCGGTATTCCCATGCTATGCATACGATGTATTGTACATTATATCAACATATACTCGAGAATAGTTGTCCAGCTCAACATGTATGTCAAAATTATCACATCTTCTGGTTTTAAATCAACAATTCTGACGGATTTTGTGCAAGGACAGCTTCGGGTTCCGTTTCGCTTTGGCCGATGCTTGCCGGAAGTACACTTATTTACCGGAAGTTGTCGTCTCCTCCGCAGGCCCTTCGATCTTCGACTACGCGCGCGGCTCGACACAAATGGAAAAAAAACAAACAAAAAAAACAAGGAAAAAAAAAATAGGAGCCGAATTTAAGACCTCGGTGTCGTACCGACCCGAGGTAATAAGCATGAACAGTTTTAACAAACAAGCTACACTAACACTAAGACTAGAATTTTATATCGTATTATCATGCAACAACAAATCATTAATAGTAAATACGAGCATTTAATATCAATATATACCAACTCTATCACGAACTTTATCATAGAGTTCGGGAAGTCGGAGTAATTCTGCTGTCAATGATATCGACTGCCAGTGTTGAAGGGCTTTATATGAGGTAGAGAAAGAAGATATTCAGTAATTCACATAAATTCAATGAAAGACTGTTGAAAAACTGCGAATACTCGGTTAAAATTCCTTACGCGTCAGACGAACAGAATTTCAAGTCATGTGCCACTGGACAGGACCTTTCAGCAGAAAGTTTAAACGAATGTATTTCAATTAGTTATGTCAACAATGTTAATCAAAAGTTAAAAAGCGAATGAATTACTATACCAATGCGTGTTAATAAAAAACGCGCGTTTCGCGTGTTGAGTATCTCATTTCGTCACTGGATTCACGAAACAAACTCCTTGAACCAAATGATTACGTACACAAGAAAACCTATCGTGTATTATCTATATCACATAAAAAACAACACAGTTTATAAAGATCGACTTTATTACAGTGCTTAAGATTGAAAAACTTTCTAAGACCCAATTGAAAGTGGCAGTTTTCCTACAGTTTTTAATACTTGCATATATGTAGGCCTAAGCATGTTCATTTTAAGGAGTTAACTTTGAATCCAATTTTACAATACATATGGGCGTTAAATGTGGTTCAAAATTACTCTACTGGGCGGAATTAGGCTAAATCCATGATATAGGGATACAAATCCCTTATTCACTGCGTACAATCTCAGATTTGGAAAAACAGAATCCCAAAAATGGCGGCGTGAGCAAGCTAGTCTAATTGCAAGAAAGTTGCAGTTTTCCTATAGCTGGATACATATGTAAGCCTGTTCATTTTAAGGAGTTAACGTACCTCCAGTGCAGTTATTTTGAACCCAATTTTACTATACATATGGGAGTTAAATGCATGTGGCCAAAATAACTCTATAGTGACTATACTGGGAGTTAAATTAACTTCATGATATTGACATAGTTGCATGGTCACTCCGCAAACCGTCCTATATATCTTTGTCTCCTTCATGCACTGTTAATCGCCCATATTTTCTTCGTGAAAACTGTAGCCTAACTGCCATTTTTCTTATACAGTAAAAGTTTATCGGACAGGGACTTCGCATACGATCGACGAGAGGACAAAGATGGCAGATTTTCGTTGAGAAGCATTTATATATAATAACTGCATGATATATATTCATGCAGGAAATTCCGAATCTTGCCAACGGCAGCTATAGTTGGGTACGTGTGAGATGTGAAAGAATTTTACCTGGACAGGAACTTAAATGTTAAAATTAATGTTACCTTCAATGTATTCATTATATTCATGTGCAGTGACTCGCATGTTTTTGGGCGCCTCGCAAGTTGCAGACTTATACATAGAATACAACATCTCTCTGAAGAATTTCAATACTGCATGCATGTGTGTATAACTATAACAATTATTGCAAGCTTGTGTGGGAGTATAGACATTCTGTCTGTAGGAATTGAAATGTTTTGCCGCCCTTATAGTTTGAACAAAGAAAATTAAAAATAAAATACTTCAGCCGTTTATTACAAAAAATATGTAAGCCTTTTATTATGTAGCCTATAAGTGTAGAAGCTATAGGAAACTTTAGCCTATAATTATTGTCTGTTCTAAACTTTTCTTCCTTAAGGTCCGTCAAGGACTATATCCTTCATTGGTCGAGTGTGTTACCAGCTACAGGAGGGAACTTTTAATTACTAAACCAACTTTATAAACATGCAAGAACGCCTGCTTGCTGCATAACTTTCTGTATACACGTTGGTGAAAAGAACGGACAATATATATATAGTTTTAATTATTTCATTATTTTGAATCTTTGACGAAACTGCTACCTTTGAAACTAATATTTTACTTGCTTGTACTGTATAATGCCAAAGATTCATTTCGTTTACATTATATACATCAAATGAAACTAAAATATCTCGCGAACAAAACCGGATAAGCAGGAAAGGTTGTCCAGTGAACTTATTTTCCAGTTTTACATGTTCTTTCCTCCTAAAATGCTTACTTAAATTTCGTTGCCATGCATACCCATGGGCAAATATCACAGAAGACAAAACTTAATTTGTATAGACATTCAGGAAATTACGCGCCAAAGCTAAACAAAGATTTAAAGAACTTTCGAAATCTTTTTATTTTCCCTAAATATAGTCGTTCTCAAACATTTTGTGCGTTTTATTTCAATAATTAGTGTATTGTGCTTTATAAAGATATTTCGTTATGATCTTGATACCATTGTTATAAAGCACATTAATAAGATCCTTGACCTTGTAGGTTTGCATGGTAAAAATAAACTATAATTATTTTGTTTTGTTTTGTGCATGGACACGTAACACGTTCATTTCTTTGCCTCGGCTTTGGCGAAGCTTTCGACCCTGCAAGTCAGTCCAATTGGTGCTATAATATATAACTCAATACACTGCATGGTGAAATACATGCTGCAGGCTTACAGGTCGAAAGCTATAGTAATACAAAATAAACGTGATATTTCCACAAATACCAAACAAATAAACTTATCCACTGAGTATATTATATGAAGTAGTCTAGTTTAGTGTCTCCTTATATACACTGGACCTCGACGAAGAACAGTCAGTTAATTACTGACTATATAAATATAATGCAGGTGGAATTCCAAAACCAAATGATATTACGATGTTGATAATGAAGAATTAATTAGCTATATATTTTGCCAGAATAACAGTGCATGCAGGAGTTATAACTACAATGCAAGATCTTGACATATGAAGAAGATAGTACATAAAATTATACCCTCTAGTATAAATAAATTGAGTCCAGTTTAGCTTTCGTCCGGTACACTGGTGTACAATGGACCACAAGATCTATGCGACGAACAACATGCATATGCAGTCTACAACAAATAAAGCTGTCCAGTATAAATACATTTTTAAAATTTTAATTTCATTGTTCAAATTTAGTAGCTGCAGTGTGCTTGGCGTGTTTATATAGAAATATTTAGTAAGACCAAACATTGTCGATTTTGATATGTGAAGATAAACAGAAAACATATATTGTTTCAGCTTTAACATTATATAGGCCTACAGTATAACATACTCTCGTACAAATATATTTGAACAATGGATAGAAAGTTTCTGTGAAAATGCATCCAAGGCTGGCTGCTGTATTCAATTGTGTTATTCGCGAGTTTTCACTAGTGCCTCGCACTTTACGCAGACCCATGCAACATGATTGATACTTTCAAATAATAACGACAATAAATTATTATTTGACAGTTTCAACACTCCATAGTAAGCCATTTTGTATTTTTGCGTATAAGAATGGATCTATAATTTACGATCGAACTCCAGTTCCACGGACTTCCCATGCATGCAGGTTTCGATCATTTTTCTATAGCAGATAGCCTGACTCAATGACAAATTTACGTATTATGGCTATGCTTCATTTAGATTTATAAAGTTGGTATATAAACGTATAGTTATAAGGTTTGCTCTAATACTAAGTTAGTAATTAATTTAAGGTTTTCACTTCTATGCCAATAAAATGCTTTAAGGGCGAAGAGTGCATGTATAGAACTGATAGTATATTATAAGAAAATGTTTCCTAGCTCCTGACTTAAAACTTAAAAGCTTATAAGTAATTCTTTTCATAAAAGGGCCGAAGTATTTTGTTTTTAATTTTCTTTGTTCAGAAAGCTGGCGGCAGAAACATTCAATTCCAGCAGACAGGATGTTTTACTCCTACATGCATTGTACTGATTGATACATGCAGCGGTATTGAAATTCTATTGACTGGGATATCGTGTCCTATAATTTGGGTCTGAATAAAATGCTTCAGGTTATTGTAATGTTTATATCTCATCCTACACATACTTCAAACTCTAGCGATTAATGCACGACTTATAGTATATACAGGGTGTATCAAAAAAAGCGCAATCCTCGACTGAAATGTAAATTGCTAAACAAATAATAAACGAAAACGTTAAAGTTTACATTCATTTTAAAGCGTAGCCATTCAGCTTTCTAACAGTGGGTTGTTTCTTAAATTTGACTCATTGATTCGCGGATAATAATACTTTACGTTATTGCGATTGGAGATTAAAAAAATTGAGATGGAATAACAAATCGTTCTCATGAAAATAACTGATTTTTTCATTAAAACAAAAAAATGTTGCATTTTATTAAATGGATTGTAACAATAAGTATAATTACGGCTTTTCTTCCACTATTTTTAACTCAGTTTGAAACTTCAAATGCGATATAATTTTGGCTTGGACCATCTAAGCTGACTGACATCAACTTGCTATAATTTCTGTTTACATTACATCGCAATTCGATGACACTCTGGCTCAGACACCAGAATGTTTTGACGATTTTTAGCATTCGGTTAGGATTTTCAAACAACCTGGTCTCTTTTAAAATACTTTTAATTTGTTCTTACGTGGTTTTCCAGATGTAGTGACGACAACATTAAAGTTTAAAGAAGAAAATTCTAACATTTAAACCAACTAAACAATAACATAGTAAACTTGCATAATTAAACAGCAACTAAAAATGATAGGTTTTACTAAATCTTTTCCTGTGCAATTATTACTAGCATTGGAGACAAGGATAATAGTTTGTTTGAAAGAGAAAAGAACAGGCTTTGAAGTAAGCCCAAAAGCCTTTAACTAGAAATAGTATTTCGAAAGTTATTAAGCACAAAAGATGAATTGCGTTTATTTTGATACACCCTGTAGAGCAAAGACAGCAAACCTGCAGCTCATGCACAGATTTTGCATGACTTGAGTTGGACTGAAATACACCACTCAATCTTGTTGCAGAACTATATATAAATTATATTTATATTTGACCATATTGTTGGAAATAGTGCATGAGAAGTGTGTAGCAGGTTTTTCCCAACCATCCAAAAATGTTCATAAAAAAGAACTGAGGAAACGTTGGAAAAGAGTTAAAGTAACCAAGCTGGACAGTGTACCTTATTGTCCGTGTATAAACATGCAGAGACGTAGCGAGTTCAGGAAAATGGTGTGTGGGAAATTCGAATGTCTCAGAACATCAGCTAAAATTTAGTTGTAATTTTGACATTTTCAGTTCAATTTGCAAACCAAAGTCGCTCCAATTGTAACACGATAACTTGATCTCTTTTCTTCTTCTTCAGGAATTATTTCTCACACCTCATACTCCAACTACAGACGCATCTCAAGATTCTTTACGGTTTGTGAATTGATCGTCTAATGAACGACCTCCTATAATAGACCCCCCCCTGTTCACGAGAATATAAATTTTTCAAAAAAAAGTCGCTACGAAAATTAAACAATAAATTTGAAGTCAACACTAAAAAGGAACCATATAAAATATTTCACAGTTTCTGCATGCCAGCAATATCTCATGTTCTAAAACGATTGATTTCACTTTTAGTTTTAACACCAAAAAACATTTCAAATTTTAAAGCAGTTGTGACACACGGATTGTGGCTGAGTAAACTGTCAAAATATAGCAACAGAAAGGATATTAGTTCTGCAGTTATATTTAATGGCTGTAAAGAGTATAATATTATAAACCATTCGCTCTCGTCGTATATATGGCTGATAGCCGATCCGGTGATAGGCACCTCGTCGACTATCAGCTCATAGGCTATATACAATGAGCTGATGGTGTAATCATATAGTAAAGGAACTTATCTGCAGCGGAATGTTTCTGCCAGTCAAGGAACTTTCTTGTTTAGAGGAACTTATTTCGCCGCCGAATTAAAGCAGACAAGCAGGATGTAATTATATATGAATTGGGAATGCTTCACTTCATTCATTCCACAAAGTTCATCAGAATAACAAACACAATAATATACCAAATATAGGTATTAATTCTTAGTTTAATAGTTTACATATAATTAAGGAGTGAATGAATTCAAGGTATTTTTAAAGGGTCAGGTCGGTGTCGAGATATAGCATGTAGCTAATATGAAAGGGATGAAAACATTCTCAAAATAATTATATGTTGTAGTCGTATATTCATTAGCCTACTCACTGTAAAAGCAAGCTAAGTGTAATTGAATCTTCTGTTCACAATGGTCAATGCGGTATGTGATCATGGAGTAAAATATAGTGTCTTCACAGCGTCAACTATACCACGGTTATAGGCTATGAATACAACAATTATAACAATAGGTTACACGGTGATAATTGACAGACTAACAGTGTTATCATATTTTTATTTTCAATTTCAGATCATTTTTCACTCTGTGAGCAAAGTCGACCTCTCGTATTTCTTCTTGGCAAAGAACAGAGAAGCAAGAGAGACTGTAGAACTTTTGTATATTCTTTGGGTAGCCGACAATCCAAAAACTTGGATAATTATGCGTAATTTCAGGTTTGATACTGCATGGTTTTATAACCGGTTTTGATGCCGGAAACAACCGAACCGGAAACTACTTATTAAATCTTCTTCTGGGAAATAGGCAGTTGCTTAGCAACCTTCGCGCGTGCTCAAATGAATTTATACAGAGTCCCAAATGAACTTATACAAGTTCTGCAGAGCCGGTCCCTCTCGCTTCTCATGCCATGCCGAGAAGAAATACGAGAGTACTTTGTTCGCAGGGTAGTCATTTTTCAAAGCGCGGTTCCCAAGTGCTCAATGGAAAACCAGAGCATATTTAAATTAAGGTACAACAAATCAACAAAATCCACTAGGCATCTTTATTACTAAATAGTTTCGTACCACAGTATGTGGCACTCTTCAGATAAATTGACCTAATGACTATAGACTAAAACTTACAAGGTTATATGTACAAGTGGATGAGACATGAAACTTAATCCTATTTACAAAGCACGCGATTTAATAAACATGTTATATGATAAGCTGACAGGACGCGGAAAGATTAACACACCGCGCTATGTTTAAATGTCTAGCTTTTAAATGTTACTTAAAAGGAATTTTTTATTATGCCTACATGCTGATACTAACTCATTACGTTTGTTTAAAGTGGCCATTTTAGGCTTACAAATAATAAAGTATTTCTCCCATAAACACATATTACATCTATTTGAAGCACAGTTATAAGGCTTAGCTCGTTTTAATAGT